TGTAAACAACAATAATGCAACAAACAAGCTTCAAGCAAAATTAGGCTCAGAGCAAACCAATGCACTTAATCAACATGCTAAACGCAGTTCAAGTACAAAGGATAATTAAAGCATTTCTGATCATTAGAAGAGTCACCATAAACTACGAAAATAATATTTAAATTACAGATCACAAAATCAGACGACACCTGATTTAAAAAATTATGATTGTTTGAGAAAAATCAATTGAAATGTTGATCCAACAAATAAACAATAAAACGTATGCGGTGTCTGAATGTAAAGGATGTTCGTCTCTCCCTCACTCCCCCCAATAATTTAAGATATTAAATCCAGTGATCTACTGTGCCTAACAAGACCTATATTTTGTTTCTGAGTGTTTCTTGTTCACGAAGGGCAAAGTTAAACTCATTTGAGTTTCCACCATTCTTAGGCCAATAGTTTCTGTAAGCAACTTGCTCCCAGGCCTTTGCCAACTGCAATCTGCAGAAGATGCATGAAAACAGCCCAGGCTGACTTTTAGGCTCTAAATACTCTCTCTGAAAACCACTTGGCATCTCTCCCCGATGAAATGCTTATATAGACACAGCATGTGGACATGTAAAGAAGCACAGGCTGGAATCTGTACACTACCACTTCACTACCACATTGTGTTTGGGGGCACCAATGCACCTCCCATTCCAAAGGAAAACCTTGTGCATATGGTGTGTCAAAAGGAGTGGTGTTCCTTACTTCGAAGAAAATAAAAGTAAGATTATTAAAAGAATGACAGCTAGCCATGGATCATGTGGATGTATGCATGTTATTTACTCAGATAACAAATAAAGAATGAGAGAAAAATTAAGACAATATTAGTAAGCCTCAAGCAAGGTTTCCTCTCTGCAGAACAGTGGAAATTTGGAACAGACTCTGAAAAGTAAACAATGCAATGTTGATTAACTCCTTGTTAAGAAAAAAAAGTTGTTGAAATATTTGCATAAGAGAAAAACGAAAGCCGATACGGATGAGTATGGAGAGTTGATCAAATAGATGGAATATTGGGTTCATGGTGATACTGAGACCATGGATGAGTCCACTACGGAATGCAAAGTTGAAAGCGTAGGTTGGTTTGATCGTCTGGATTTTTTTTCAATGATTAATTCTGCGGGTTGTGGAGTGATTAAATGGGACTTGTCTTGTGACAGCTTTACCTGTGATTGGTACTCACTCTCTCTCTCTAGAGTGTATGATGCACTATGGGCAAATTGTACATACTATGTGTAAGAGGTGGGTGTGATGGGTGAATTGCCCTTTCTCATTCTATACTTTATTATTGATGACAGTTAAATCATTAAGATAAAGATAGATTTTCTAAATGAATTTCTGCTTCACAGGAGAGGCTAAGTAGCTAAATTAAAGACAATGTCAGGAAGTGCTTCAGGCAACTATCTTGATTCGCATATGGAATAGGAAATCTAAGGGCCAAATGTATCAGACGATTTCAAGGGATAAGTATCTGAATATTCATGGATTCATAGAAAGAGCAGCTCAGAAGCAGGGCATTCGGCCAATTTAGACTGGCCAGTACTTGTACTCCACATCCGGGCCCAACCCATATCCTATCCCTCGTCCCATATTCCAGTTTTCTTTTAAAACCCCTTTCCATCCTTAGCAGGTACCCATCTCCTATATCCTCCTACCACACTCTTCTTCTCCACCCCTCCATTCAGCAAACTTGCTGTGTATGCCCTCCTCTACTTATGCCACCATCAAGGGCAGAGCTTTCTAATTCTTTGCACATAACCTCTGCAACTCCCTCCCTCGAAACCTCCTTCCTGCCCCCTCTGGATCTATCTGCACATCCTACTTTATTATTATTATTACTTTAAAATCTATGTTTTTGACCATACTTATGGTCACCTCACCCTATTCCCCTGCCCATCATCCATGCCCACTACTGTAAAGAGTTCCAAGATTTGTTATTCTACATGAAGGATGCTATATAAATCTTTTTACGTATAAAATATTTACATGAATACTGATCTTTAATTCTTTCACTTTTTTTAGTCACTTAGTGATAAACTATTCAGTACCAATGGGAGGATTTTTTTTGTTCTCAATTCTACTCTCAGTTCTATGAAATTCTAAACTAATCTCATAAGAGGATCTGCAGGAAATGCTTCCTCTCAATTTAACTGACACTTTTAAGTTTAATCCAACTTGCATTCTTTGCCTACAATTTTATCCATATTGTGTTTTTATGTCCCACCATTAGCAGAATCAATGCCCCTTTGCATTCTCAAACCCAAGTCTGGACAAGGATCTTTGAATATCCACTGGCATCTTTCTTTCATCAATGAGATGTGATTTATTTCATCGCTTTTGCAACTTAAGCGTAAATGTTGTTAAAGACAGAACTGAAAGTGAAGACGGCAATGAAAAGGTCACTACCAGGTGGGTTAAATCAATGTCATTGACAATCTTTCAAACACACCTCTAGAAATCTCCTTTAACTTAAAAAAAATTCCACTTGAGAGCTGGGGATTTTATTGACTTCCTTTAAAAAGTGAGCGAAATGCACTGAAAGATGATAATGCAGATGAATCGAAGGATTGTCTGGCTCCGGGGAGAACTGTCACATCATATGAAAATAGTTCTGTCAAAATTCCACAGGCATGCATGCTTTGAAAGAATGTACAACCATAGCTTTGCCTACAATTCAATCTTGATTTGTAACCTATATACTGTAAAGCAGCTTCAATGAACAATGTGAGCCATCTGTTCAGCAACATTTTGCACGAATGCAAAATTAAAAGTAACTTGTATGTGTGAAATCACACTTCACAATCATGCAGTGTTTGTGAGTAAAAGACATAGCCACACACCCATGTAATGAGCAGGATTGCTCCATACTGGAACTGAGTCCAGGCATTCTTTCATTCATACTGAAGAACAATGCAAATCACTCGGGCTTGTGACACATGCTAGTTCTTATTCATTCCCTTGATACTCATGAAAGAACTGAGGCAACAACATCACTGGTGAAATATCATTCATTCCTTTCAAAAGGAAAGAACATGTAATTTAAATGATGTATAATCCAAAATTATTTTCATCAGCATTTCTGAAACTAAACACACAATCAACCTATAGCTCCTTTGATGTGTCACTTTAATTAAATAAACTAACACTTTCACACAGGTTTTTACTCTGCAGGTCGATTTCCATCTCTGTCAGCACTTTTGCAGTATTCTGTTGCAATAGGTGGTCAGTGAAAGGATTTCAGCTCCAAACAACAGTGAAAAGGCAAACATGCCCATCTTCTTCCTACACTTAACATTTGAAAACATTTTCTTTACATATCTAATGTTGCATATCACAGGAGAAGTTGACAATCCCATTGAATATTTCTTCAATCAAAGAAAACACTCTATAGATCAAATGATGGTGTTTTTTTCTCTCATTTCAATGAAGAACTCCTTCTAAAGTCCTCAATCAGTTACTCTGGAACAGCTGCTAAATGTGGAACATAGCTAAATTAGCAGCTGCACTATAAAAGGAGTATTGGACAGTTTCAGCACACATAAGTGCTTTTTCTTTTGTCTACTCTAACAGCTAGGTATCATCAACTACATATCTGCGGTACCTTTCCACCCACTTAGCAGCTCTCTTTCAAGGCCAGCCTTAATAATAATAATTTTTGCATTTGATATAGCGCCTTATCGTGTCTTTGAGAAATCTTGAAGTTGTCGCAAGATATAGTTGCTTAGAATCATAGTTCTGGTCTGTAATGCTTGTTGTAATTAAATTAGTTTCAATTCTGAATTAGTTTCAATTAAATTAGTTTCAGGAATATTGTTATTCCTATCTACAGCCACCAAAAATAAACTAGGAATAGAGGCTAATTCTTAATTGTTAAAGGCCCAAATCCCCGACTGTCCAGCACCTTGGGACGTCCTCCCGAAGTGAGAGGCACTATACAAGTGTAATCTGTTGTTGTTGTTTTGATATCTACTCGGAAACTTTAACATAAATAAATTTGTGAAACATACAAAAAGTTGTTTGATTATTTTTTTAAAAAAAACATTGTTTACGCTTTCTACAAATGTAACCAGAGTATTATTATAAGAAACAGACCACACTAGTGCTGATCGGATCACTTGTCAGTTTCATGCCCAAGTTTACAGAAACACAAATAATTTGCCACAAATGTGTCCCTGCTTTTGAGAGCTGTAAACATTGTTTGTTGATTTTGCGGTCAATCTCCTCTGCATCACAACAGACACTGGAAATGATTGACATGGGGGTGGGGGGAGAGAAGGGTTTAAGAGAGAAGTAGATGGGCATTTGGGGAGGACAGGATTGCATGGCTACGGAGAGAAAGCGGGCCAGTGGGATTGGGTTGGATTGCTCTTTTAGGAGCTGGCGCAGATGCAATGGGCCGAATGGCTTCTTTCTGTGCTGTATGATTCTATGATTCAGCACCACGCATTGGTTTACGGCTTGGCGATGCAGCTTTGGAAGATGCCATTAACAACAACAACAACAATAATCCTTGCATTTGATACGGCGCCTCATCGTCTCTTCGAGACGTCTCAAAGCGCTTGGCAGAATATACCGTAAAAGTGAATGGAGTTGTATACTTTGCGGGCGAAACGTTAAGTCTCCTTAACATTTAGAATAGCGGCCGCAGGAGAGGGAGGGAAGGGGTTTTTAGAGAGAGCCCTGGAAATCCTCACATAGGCTGCGCCGTTCGGTGGCGTTCACCTGAAACAACAGGTGAGCAAACTGACTTGATAACCAGGTGCTGGAACTGGTAGGTGCACAATTCGGTACCATCACAGCAACTTAAAAGCAAATTCACACAGACACAGACACCACGACCACCAGCATCGCAGCAGGACTTCAAATGCAACCCCGTTAAACACAAAACCCTGCCCTGACACCCCCTTAAAAGTTTACACACGGACAGACAAGACACTGCGGCTTCTGGAGGGCAAAAGAGACTTTGTGCATTTTCTCACCTTTGCAAACTCCCAGTAACAGCCCGGAGCTGCTGTCGCCCTCCTCGGCTTCCCCGTTACCGGACTGGCTGTCAGACACACACCACAGCCCCGTCTCGCACTTGCCCGACTCTCCCTGCAGGTCTCCGCAGGTGTCGCCTCGCTGTCTGGCGCACACCAGGCAGCAGTCGCAGGCGTCCAGCACCTTGGCCCCGGGGCAGCGTCCCGGCTCCGGGCACTGCTCCCGGCGGCACGGCTCGCACTGCCGGCCGCCTCTCACCCGGGTCCAGGACAGCAGCAAGCCGAGGGCGAGCAAGCCCACAGCGGCCCCGCCACACCGCGTCCTCAGCATGGCCACCGCGCACCGCACACCCACTCACTCACTGCCCTGCACACTCACTCACACCCACTCACTCACTGCCCTGCACACTCACTCACTCACTCACTCACTCACTCACTCGGCACTGCACACTCACTCACTCACTCAGCACTCTTCACTACCCTGCACACTCACTCACTCAGCACTGCACTCTCACTACCCTGTACACTCACTCACTCACACTCACTCACTCTGACTCTCACCACCCTGCACACTCACTCACTCACTCTGCACACACACACACTCACTCACTCTGCACACACACTCACTCACTCACTCTGCACACACACTCACTCTGCACACACACTCACTCTGCACACACACTCACTCTGCACACACACTCACTCTGCACACACTCACTCACTCTGCACACACTCTCACTCTGCACACACACTCACTCTGCACACACACTCACTCTGCACACACACTCACTCTGCACACACACTCACTCTCCACCGCACACACACTCTGCACTGCACTCTCACCACCCTGCACACTCACTCACTCACTCACACACACTCACTCTGCACTGCACACTCACTCTGCACTGCACACTCACTCACACACTGCACACTCACTCACACACTGCACACTCACTCACTCACTGCACACTCACTCACACACTACACTCCTACTCCCTGCACTCACACTCCAACCCACACAAAAACCCCGCAAACCAACACGCACTACGCACTCAAAAGCCACCCCCACCCCCCTCCCACCCCCACCCCGCAAACTACCAGACACTCGCACACACCGCGACACACAAAACCCCGCAAACTTTCAAACGCACAGTGTGAGTGAAGCACAGCCACTCCGCCTCCCAACTTCGCTCCTCGCTTTACCTTCGCAACTTTTTTTTTCACTGGAGTTGCTTCAAGGTAAATAATAGTCCACAAACGAGCATTGTTTTGCTGTTCAAAAAAATATATTTTCTGGGGGTATCTTTTTTTTTTGGGGGGGTGGGGGGTTGGGGGATGGGGTTTGGGGGTTTGCAAAGGCAGTCTTTTTTTTTTTGGGTGGGGGGGGTTAAAAAAAAAGTTTTTTTTTTGCTCCTTTCTCTAACTCTCTTTCTCTTAAGTTTAACAGCCAAAAAAAAAAAGGCACAAAAAAAAAGCATAAAACAAAAACAACAACAGGGCTGTCAGAAGAGCTGAAGCTGTGCTGCGGGTCTCGTCTGTCACTGTGTGTGTGTGTGTGTCTGTGTGTGTCTCTCTCTCTCACTGTACAGAGCAGATGCGGCTCTGGCTTTTAAACTGCTGCTCTGGGCACTCACTGCGCTGCAGTGACGCTGACTGATCGACAGCTACACTCCACCAACACTGTCTACACCCCCCACCCACCCACCCACCCCCCTCCCTCCCTCCACCCACAACCCATGCTGTGGCTTTGGCTGCAAACGTTAGAGCAGCTTCTTTGACACCAACCCCCCCCCCCCCCCCCACCCCCCCACCCCCCACCCAACCACAAACACACACACACATATATATATACACACACACACACACACATAAACCTCCTGAAGAAACCAGAGGCAGAGGTTTGCAGACATGCTCCGCACCAGGGCATCGTTCAAGAAGCGCTCCAGGACCCTACCCCGCCTGAATCTAACCCCCCACCCTGCTACCCCGCTCTATAAATGCAAGTTGGTGGTGGTGTTCGCGTTGAACTACATTACCTGACCCACGCCTCCTGGTCACCTCTCACTTTGCCGAGGCTGTAACTATCTGCAAAATACGTTTTGCTCAAGACAAAGTTGACCATTTTTCACGGTTCGCTTCCTTTATCTTCTTCGCTCAAACTTTCTAATTTCCTTGGACAGTATTCTTATTTCTCGATTCATTTTTCTGCCCGCTCATTCTTTTCACTCCCATTTATCTTTCTGCCTCCTGTATCTTCTTTTCCACGAATCACACTTACTTCTGCTTTGTTTTCTATGCTATATAAAAACAAATGAATACTTCACATGCAAAATAAGCATTTTTTTCTCATTATCTAGGTCAGAGAGAGGGAACCTGCGAATTTTGCCTCTAGGATCAGGAGCTCAAGCATTTATTTTTGCGTGAAGACTTCTGAAGTTTACTGTAGGGAGATAATGCAGCATAGAAGTATTTTTCAGTAGACTGAATGCAGTATTTTTAGCATCATTTCCAAAAGAAGTCATATTGGATGCACCCATTGGATAGATTGACTCGAATTTGGGGGCTGGGGGTGGAGAACACTGTTAATAGAGGACTGACCCATCATTAATAGTTACTGAAAACTCTACGATATAATTTGTGTGCCACAATTGCCTAAACTGAAGAATATGTGTAAAATTAATCTTTTACCAGAAGCACATTCAGGGGTTAACTATGTGCATCATACTGTATCTTTATTAACGACAGCAACTTGCGTTTTTATAGCAGAGGGATGGAATCATTAAGTACATTAATAGTGACTGCAATTGAACTACTAGTTTATTTTATAGCCCTAAACCCTCAATGAGTATAGTGGGGTACAAGCAGGGTATAGTCTTTTTTGGCCACTATACCCACTGAAACATATTGCCCACTACCATCTATTAAAGGCTAATGATTCAAATTATGATTCTTCAGACTATTATAACTTTTGGTCTAAGCCCATTAATATATTTTGCACAGTAGGATATATGATGGAGCATTACCTCTCCAACTTGCTAACCCCTCATCACCCTGTCCGCTCCCTCCGCTCAGCAGGCTCTGGCCTGCTCCATGTCCCCCGCCCGGCCAGCCCCACCATTGGCAGTCGGGCCTTCAGCCTCTCTGCCCCCACCCTCTGGAACTCCATCCCACCTTCCCTTCACCTCGCTCCCTCCTTTGCCTCCTTCAAGGCACGCCTCAAGGCCCTACTCTTCAACCGTGCCATTGGCTACCCTCCTTCCCTCTCTGCCCTCCAACTCCCTCCACTCGGATCCTAACCTCTGACAGTTCAGCACCTTGAGTCATCCTCCTGACATGAAAGGTGCTATACAAATGTAATTTTATATTGTATTGCTGAATAAAACAATGACTTTCTGACTACAAGGCAGTTTTGCCTGTTTTGCCCAGTATATGCAATCAAATCAGAACCACTTATTTTTAAAGCCCATTTGTCCTTGTGGTAACATATTACTTTCATAATGCCATTTTCCTAATAGTGACAGATTTAGATTTATTGTGCCCAGTGTTGGGTTAACACTGATATCTGCAACACCGTGTTAGTACTGTACACTCAGCTGCCCGTCAAATGGAACTCAAGTTCTCTAGAATGTTTTTCCACGATTATTTCTATTAACAAACACAAGTATACAGATGCAATGCAATGGAAACAGTTGACCATAAATTAAAGCAAACTGTAAATGTGAGTCAAAAGGTAGCTTCATAATATGCTTAACATAACATCATAACATTGCAGTCAAAGTTGGGCAGTGGAATAATTAAGGATTTTTTTTTAGCAATTTTAGAAGATGACATTTGTTTATTATTAAGATTGTGTATTGGATCACTTCATATAAATCTTCAGTTATGTATTTCAAGAACTGTTTAAAACTATTGTCAAATAGCGCTTTCATTTTCTCTAGGTATAAAACTAAAATGCTCATATAGTTATTTCCAAATACTCTTTTTCGTACTGCAAATGTTTCAAAGTATTGTATGCATAACTATGGATTCTTGTGCAATTTTTTAAAGAAAAAAGGGACATTTTAATGTTTAGGTATGTTTTATTATACCTATGTTCTTTGTTTTATTAGTTTTCACTTTGCTTACATAGGACATCAATGCAGTCCATGTAAACCATATGACAGCTTATATTGGTATTTGGGGATTTTATATTAACAGTCTGCTCCGCCAAAATAAATAATAATTTGAATTATTTTCTCCTAAATGCAAGTGTCGTTCACATTCTAAGCGATGTCTCAATGCAAATGCAGATTTACTTGTAATGTATCCTTAAAATCAAAGATTTACTGAACGAGAATCCTTCTGCTCCCCCCCCACCATGGAATCCTCCTTTAACTTTTTCATGGCTAATAAATGCACTGAGTAAAACCGTACATGCAGTAGTTCAAACATAGATCTCAGAGCCCTGTATGTCTTAGGAGCGTGTTATATTCCATATAGCGTGGAAACAATGTTACAGTTCACTTGACTAATCAACTAGTCATTTATTACTGAGATCACAGTTCAGCCGTAACCATCCCCTGCAGACTGGCATTCAAACAATGCCTCCCCTTGACTTGACTTTCCCTGTTGTACTGTATGAGGAATGTTCAGCAAGATGGTGTGCAAATTTTAAAAACTTCCTGATCCTGATCTCATTTGTTTTGTGGCTTAGTCATACTTCTGTGAGCACATGTTCAGGTTACACATCGCCCAGCTGATTTTCTTTTCTCCCTACATAGAATTTTCGGATTTACCTATGCTCAAAATTTTTTTTAATTAATTCTGCATCTGAGAATGGAATCTCCAAAACACTGGTGTTTCGATGGTTAGAAGCTTACATCAAATGTTCTAATCTTGAAAATGACAGAAAAAAAAACAAGCAAGTATGTCGTAACTATTATTTTGTGGTTGGGTGGATCAAGGAAGTATTTTGCTGTGTTTGTAAATTTAATCTGTGATCGAATCTCAATGGCAAGTGCCATACAACATAACATAATCATATAAGGGAATATTTTGTACTGCTTTTCCTCAGTAGTTGCCTAGATAAAACAGCTCAAACCAAAAATAATAAACCTCACTTCAGTAAATTCCATGTAAAGAAATTACAAAAAGAAAGGGCGCCTGGTGTCTGCCCTCTTGATCTGCTTCCTTGCGTATCTGAAAGTGCTACTTTATTCTGGATTTACTAACTGAATTCTGGATTTAGGAATGTTAAATACCTCTATAAGGTATGCTCTGAATCACCTCTTCTCAAAGCTGAAGTGCCATACATGGGCTAATTGTTCCTCATTGGTCATCTCTACTAATGGAGATTATCCTCCTTCTCTCCTTTGCACTACTTCCAAGGCCCGAGCAGCCCCATTATGT